ATGCCATACTATACTATGACGTTTTTTTGCATTTTCCTGCCATACTATACTATGATGTTTTTTGGCATTTTTATGCGTGATTATATTATTTCCACTCATGCCTTGCCATACTATGACGTTTTTATGACCTTTTATGCCTTAATATACTATGATGTATTTTTGATGTTTTATGCCATACTATACTATGACGTTTTTTGGCGTTTTTCTGCCATACTAAACTTAGATGTTTTTTGGCATTTTTATGCCTTACTATACTATCTCGTTTGATGCCTGACCATACTATGATGTTTTTATGACCTTTTATGCCTTAATATACTATGATGTATTTTTGATGTTTTATGCCATACTGTACTATGACGTTTTTTTGCATTTTCCTGCCATACTAAACTATGATGTTTTTTGGCATTTTTATGTGTAATTATATTATTTCCACTCATGCCTTGCCATACTATGATGTTTATATGACCTTTTATGCCTTAATATACTATGATGTATTTTTGACGTTTTATGCCATACTATACTATGACGTTTTTTGGCGTTTTTCTGCCATAATAAACTTAGATGTTTTTTGGCATTTTTATGCCTTACTATACTATCTCGTTTGATGCCTGACCATACTATGATGTTTTTATGACCTTTTATGCCTTAATATACTATGATTTATTTTTGATGTTTTATGCCATACTATACTATGACGTTTTTTTGCATTTTCCTGCCATACTATACTATGATGTTTTTTGGCATTTTTATGCGTAATTATATTATTTCCACTCATGCCTTGCCAAACTATGACGTTTTTATGACCTTTTATGCCTTAATATACTATGATGTATTTTTGATGTTTTATGTCATACTATACTATGACGTTTTTTTGCATTTTTATGAGTAATTATATTATTTCCACTCATGCCTTGCCATACTATGACGTTTTTATGACCTTTTATGCCTTAATATACTATGATGTATTTTTGATGTTTTATGTCATACTATACTATGACGTTTTTTGGCGTTTTTCTGCCATACTAAACTTAGATGTTTTTTGGCATTTTTATGCCTTACTATACTATCTCGTTTGATGCCTGACCATACTATGATGTTTTTATGACCTTTTATGCCTTAATATACTATGATGTATTTTTGATGTTTTATGCCATACTGTACTATGACGTTTTTTTGCATTTTCCTGCCATACTAAACTATGATGTTTTTTGGCATTCTTATGTGTAATTATATTATTTCCACTCATGCCTTGCCATACTATGATGTTTATATGACCTTTTATGCCTTAATATACTATGATGTATTTTTGACATTTTATGCCATACTATACTATGACGTTTTTTGGTGTTTTTCTACCATACTAAACTTAGATGTTTTTTGGAATTTTCATGCCTTACTATACTATCTTGTTTGATGCCTGACCATACCATGATGTTTTTATGACCGGTTATGCCTTATTATACTATGATGTATTTTTGATGTTTTATGCCATACTGTACTATGACGTTTTTTTGCATTTTCCTGCCATACTGAACTATGATGTTTTTTGGCATTTTTATGTGTAATTATATTATTTCCACNCCATACTATACTATGAAGTTTTCATGTCTTACTTTACTATGACATTTTTATGTTATGCAATACAAGCCAATTGTGATGGGGTAGCTTGTGGTTCAATGGTTAGAACAGTTACCTCACACTCAGAGGGTTGTGGATTCAAATCGCAGTAAGATGGTTTACTTTCATATGCCTTTATTTTAATCTTATTTTCACGCCACACTATACTATGACGTTTTTTGGCATTTCTATGCCTAATTGTATTATTTCGTCTCATGACTGACCATATTATGTTCATATGACGTTTCATGCCTTAATATACAATGATGTATTTTTGACGTTTTATGCCATACTATACTATGACGTTTTTTTGGTGTTTTTCTGCCACACTAAACTCAGATGTTTTTTGGCATTTTTATGCCTTACTATACTATCTCGTTTGATGCCTGACCATACTATGATGTTTTTATGACCTTTTATGCCTTAATATACTATGTTGTATTTTTGATGTTTTATGCCATACTGTACTATGACGTTTTTTTGCATTTTCCTGCCATACTAAACTATGATGTTTTTTGGCATTTTTATGTGTAATTATATTATTTCCACTCTTGTCTTGCCATACTATGATTTTTATATGATCTTTTTTGCCTTAATATACTATGATGTATTTTTGATGTTTTATGTCATACTATACTATGACGTTTTTATGACCTTTTATGCCTTAATATACTATGATGTATTTTTGACGTTTTATGCCATACTATACTATGACGTTTTTATGACCTTTTATGCCTTAATATACTATGATGTATTTTTGACGTTTTATGCCATACTATACTATGACGTTTTTATGACCTTTTATGCCTTAATATACTATGATGTATTTTTGACGTTTTATGCCATACTATACTATGACGTTTTTATGACCTTTTATGCCTTAATATACTATGATGTATTTTTGACGTTTTATGCCATACTATACTATGACGTTTTTATGACCTTTTATGCCTTAATATACTATGATGTATTTTTGACGTTTTATGCCATACTATACTATGACGTTTTTATGACCTTTTATGCCTTAATATACTATGATGTATTTTTGACGTTTTATGCCATACTATACTATGACGTTTTTATGACCTTTTATGCCTTAATATACTATGATGTATTTTTGACGTTTTATGCCATACTATACTATGACGTTTTTTGGCGTTTTTCTGCCATACTAAACTTAGTATGGTCAGGTATCAAACGATATAGTGTAGTAAGGCACAAAAATGTTAAAAAAAATCTAAATTTTTTCTAATTATTTTTTAATGGGGTGGCACATTGAAGTAGTATTCAGAAAATTTGCCTCACAATCAGAAGGTTTTAGATTTGTATTCTGTGCATGCCCCCTTTCTGTGTGTAGTTTGCATATTCTCCTCGTGCCTGTGTGGGATGTCTTTGAGTACTTAGGCTTCTTCCTGCAGTTGATAGACATGCATATTAGGTTTATTGGCAACCCTAATGCCTTCCTATAACCTTTTCATGCCTTACTTTTATCCCTCATGACGTACTATACTATGATGTTTTTATGCCTGAATATACTATGATGTTTTTATGCCTTATTTTACTATGGCTATAGCGAATTTATATTGCATCTCCAGTATACCTTCACTCAACATTTTTTTTCACTTACTTCATAATAAAATAAATTGTGAATAGAGCTGATTTACATTTGTAAACTAATCTTTTTTGAGTTTTCCTGCTTCATGGCACATTGTTTAAGTTCTAAAAACATATACTCACTTTGGTTTTTCTCGGCTTTCAAAAGTAGCCTAATCCCCATTCTGTGACTCTATACTAGCATACAGTACATCATTGATTTTGGGAAGTGGCATTGACTGGGGACTGGGGATGGACGAGTAGGGGGAGGTTCTTATTGAAAAAAAGTATCTCAGAGGATCTCTTACAAAGAAAAAAACACAAACAGAAATGAATGTGAACTTCTTAATTTCTTGGGACTGTGAACTTATTCAAAATTCAAAACTGTGAACTACTTATAGGAATTAGTTCATTTTAGTTTGTGTGAACTGAACTTTGAGAGAGATCTTTTGAAGTGTGAACTTTCCAAGTGCTTTAAATTCATATTCAGCCTGCCAGATGTACATCTGTGTCCTATCACACCTCATTCTGTTTTTCTGGACAACGCTCTTGAATTCAGCGTCGAGTCTCTGCATATCTGAATGACAATAATAATTGGGATTCATGGACAGACTTATTGAGCTTTGGAGGGTTTTAAACAACCTTAAAAGGTGCGCAGGTTGCCTCATACTTTATCTGAAATAAAGCGTTAAAGCTAAAGTTTCAGATAAATAAGAAATCACTTACACTTGTAAAATCTCCACTTAATGTACGGTAGAACTTTAAAGATGCAGGTTAGGTGGTAAACACTGTCACCTCTATGCAAGAAAGAACTGATTTTGATCACCCTTCCTCACCCTTTCTTCCTTGTATATGGTTTGCATGTTTCTTCCCATGCTCACCTCTGTTTGATCTGGACCATAGACCCCATTTTCCTTCTGCAATGCACACACATGCAGCCCAGGTGGGCTGGAGAAGAGACAAGTTAACCACAGGTGTAAATGTCAGTGTGTCTAACCTTCCCACCCACATCCAGTTCATGATGGGTAGGTTCTAGCCACCTAGTAACTTTAACATGATTACAATGATGAAGACAATAAGACAAGAAATTAAGCAGTGAATGTTTGTCAGTGAGGAAACTTTTCAGATGCAGTGCTTTCAAGGCCTAGTGGTCAAAATGAACCAGTTGTGTCACGTCATCTGTCATATATTTATTTGAACAATGGCTCCATCTACAGGAGACATACAAGACATTATAGTAATTATTAAAGATCAGACTTTGATCTTTATTGTTCCATTTAGATTACTGAAACCAAGTGTTAAAATGAAACTAACATAGCTGTTTTATTAAGATGATCTGTAGTTCAATGTAAGTGCTTCAAAGAAAAAATAATACATGGAAAGTTTCAAAGCTTTATTTACTGTCTATAGTTTTTGTACAAAGTGAATAAACTGCTTCTTACTTGTAAGGACTAAACAGTTGAAGCAGTTGAAGCAAACTAAGTTTTCTTTAAGTAGATCAGTCATCTCATTTAAACCCATCCTGATGTTTTTTTTCAAGAAAAACAAACAATTTTTATAATTCTAAATATTTCCTTTTTGTAGAGATTTTCAGTTTCAGTGGAGCTTAGGCCATAATGCTCTCTACTTTTGTCCTGTACTTTCATACAGACACATTCAGATACTATATAAGTCCAACAGTAAATTCCTTTTTGGATACTTCTATCTCTGTTTGTAATTCACATGGTACACCCATGAACTAATTCCCGATGTGTCATAAATAAAAAAAACACTTGAGGACAATATTTGCTGCAGCTTAGCGTCATTAGTCTTTATTGAATGCAAAGTACAACAGATAAGAAAGACAGTAAAATGTGCAGACAAAGCACAAGCACACAACTTTTTGAAGGCACACTTACATTTCATCAGTGCATAAAATAGTCATAATAATACTGGTAAAACCCACTCAAAAATTTACTGTTGATGATTTTTTTTTGATGTAATACACAATAGAGTGTGCTGTAACAGAATTTAACAGATTTGGTGCAATCACATTTCAAATTCATTAAACTATTCTGTAAATCTATCAAATATTTGTTCATTTTTCAGTAAAATGTAAAACATGTACAGTCGTATGGTGGGTCCAGGTCTGGTCCATTGGCAGAGAAGAAAAAAAACAGTACAGTCCTAATAAGTCCTAAAGTAGAATGACCTGATTATTGGAAAGTATTGAAAACAGATCTCAAAGCAGACGTGCTTGTGTCACACGCTAAAGAGCAGGTGTCCAGAGAAGAAGCTTTTGGTGCTCAGGCCATAGGTCCCTTTGCTTGCCCTCAAATACACTTGGTCTCCTTTCTCCAGTCGGAGCAATGTGTCCCCTGAAGATGTGCGCTGACCTCTTTGATAAACCTTGACACTGTACATCGCTAGCTTGTTGTTATGCCACAGGTCCACACTTCCTCCACCATTGACGGTCGTACAGACAAAGCTGAACTGATAGACACCAGGGATAACGCATGTAAACAAGCCCGTCTGCGTGCTGTAGTGGTTCTGTTTGTTGTAGATGACCTGACGGAAACGAATTATTTTCTTTGAAGATGATCTGTATTTGCCCAGGATGACGGAGAAGGCAGACTGTGTGGCATTGACATCGACTTCTGGTGGTCCTTGAGGTCCTGGAGGTCCTACTGGACCTGCAGACAAAAACAAAAGATTACTTACAAAATTCTGTCAAAGTGTACAGAATATCATAGATGTGTAACTGTCCACATTTTCAGCTTTGAATCTACTTTCATAAAATGAAAGTTTTTTTTCAAAAAGTTTTCTGATCTGCTGTTGATTTGAACCATCCTGACCTTTCAGACTGTCTGTGAAGTTTTCTTAGTGTCCTCGGGGTAAATACTAAGACTTGATTTATATTTTATTCTTTTAATATCCTATTTAAGTGTCTTTCTTATTGCCATGTGTTTCTGTTATATCTTGCCTTAATGCCTTTTTAAGCACTTTGAATTACCTTGTTGAAACGTGCTAAGCAAATACATTATGCTGTTGGTGTTTCATATATTTTAGGATCAGTTTTGCACCGACTCAGAATCCTATCCTGCTGAATCTAAACAGAAAAACACTGCTGAGGTCTTTGTTGTTTGTGTTTTTTTAAATACATTTGTAAAAAAAAAAATAAGGAGGCTTACAAAATCTTGCTGCTTTTGTGCCCAGTGAAATTTTTAAATAATGCATTCAGAAGTAGCATTCTGTCCTATAAAGGATCTCATGCCTGTTTGCAATTTACTGCCCACTTGTGGCAGCAGCAGGTTATTGTCCCTGCACACTAGTTTGACTTCCAGCTGTTGTACATATCATTTCTGCCATTTTTGTGGACGTGACTGTGTCCCATTGACCAAGACTGGGGCTTATCAAGCAGAGAGGACAGCAGCCTTTATTTAGGAGGTTTGCGCTTGCGTATTGAAGATAATCCTGGAATCTTTGATGAGTGACTAGCTATGGCCAATGTGTGCTTCCACTGTTCTGAGGTCAGTTTTGATATTGTTCGCATTACACACATGCGCAGCAGTGTTCGCATTAAGCGTTAAGAGGTAACAGTAACATGTAAACAAGCAAATGACACTGATTTATCATCTCTGTGCAAGATCTGCTGTAAATTTCAGAAGATTGAGACAGAATATTGTTACACAAATAACACAGCTTCTTACAGGAATGGCTTAGTACGTAGGTTGTGAGAGAGAGAGAGAGAGAGAGAGAGAGAGAGAAAGAGCTAGAGCAAAGAGGCTGGTGACAGGAGCAGAGAGTTAGCTACTTAGTTAGCAGTTAGCAATGCAGCTGTGGACGTAGCAGTAAATGTATGTGCACTCCAGGCTGTCAGTAAATAAATACTACAACTCCTCAAGAACCAAGTTCCTGCCTCTCCCCTGTGCTTCCTAACTACAGTCCTGACAATATGAGCCAGGAAAGGTTAGCATCACTGAGGCAGGAAAATGCAGGATTCTGCATTCTCAGGTAAAGGTAAATATTTTGCTTAGCTCTGCCTGCCTGTTTGTAAAAGTTCCTGCACGCCACTGCTATACATAGTGTTGATGTAAGATAACTGAATGGATTACCTCGTTGTCCAGGAGGCCCTGGTGGTCCTGGCGGGCCTCGGTGCCAGGCCATTTCACATTCTGTATATCAAGAAGATGTAGAGATCAACATACTCAGCCTAATAACTAAAGGAATTTTTTTCAAAATGTGCTTGAGTCAGTAAACTATGAACTGTTTCTTTTGAGTGAGGAAGGCCTTCACCAACATGACCAAATGTTAAGAAGTGTTGTGTGATATGAATATGCACTTTTAAGCTTCAAGCCTTAACCCTTGTGCAGCCTTAAGGACATTCTTGTCCCTTTCATTTTAGATTTGAATCTTCGAAGGATGTACTTGGGTGACTGCATGACAGTGTATGTGACTGCATGTCCATATGAGTTGAGAACAAGTGGTTCTCAAGGCATTATTTCTCATGATAATCATAATAAAGTATTTTATGGAAAAACAACAGTGACATTATGTAAACAAACTGTGTTCTAAAGAGTTTAAATCCTGAAAATGATATAATATAGTAATATTTGGTAGGTATGATCAGGACTGATGTTGGTTAAAAAAAATTATTCACTGAAAGTAATATTAATATATATTTATGGAAGTTTTTGATTCAAACATATTTGTCCTCTAAGGACCACAGTGTAATTTTTTAAAAGGGATGCACAAGGGTTAAAATGTGACTGCCATTTGTTAGTGCTTAACACCGACCTCTCTTTCAAGGACTTCATAACAGCTATCACCCGGGCCTGCAACATCAAACACCACATATCAAGACTGATTTTCACTTAAGTTATTAGTGAAGAAATAAAGACACCAGGTTAACCTCAGAATGAAAAACACAGTGAGCACTAAATGATGAATCATGTTAATTTAGTACTGAGAGTCTTTCCCGCTCTCAGAAAGTTTGATAGAGTGTTGTTTCACCTGAGTTCTCGGAGCAGGGTCTCTCCCTCCAGGCCGACAGGTCCAGGCCACGGATGGCGTTGCAGTTGACCAGACGGTTTCTGTTTGAGATAACGCTGAAGGCGTCAAGGGGGACAGACGTGATGCCAGTGTTGTCGCAGATGATCTTGGACAACCTGACAGATGACAGAGCAGATCTCTGTCTCGGCGTGAAGACACCTGGTTTCTCGTACCACAACCTGAGCATTTCAAAGGAGAGGTGAGAAGAAAGTGTTAGTGTCAGCAGACTGTATTTAAAATACATTTAGTTTTGTGATAGGGTCATCAGTCTGCAGCTGACATTTAATATAAATTATGATCTAAAATTTGTCAGGACTGGAAGGCAGCAACCAGCTGTGGTCAAATGCTACAGGTGTAAACCAATGCTAGTCTGAAAACCTCTGGCTACTGAGGTTATAAAGAGAAAAAAAAGTGTTTCAATGTATTTGTGGAGCACCAGAGTTGGTACTGCTTGCAGCAGACATTTAGATATTTAGTGCAGGATGTTATCACGTGTAATAATCACTGTAGTAAATGATACAACACAGTGGAAATTTCAAATCTACAGCGCTGCATGTATCCACCCACATACTGACCTGTCACCCTGGCGGATCTTCTGGAACTGGTTTGCGATGAGGCAGGCGAACAGAGGCCCCACACGCCCGCCCCTGACGAACGGTTCTGCCACACCTCCCAGCCACACATCGATGTTGTCGGGTGTACCGTAGAGCTGCAGCAGCCTTCGAGCCAGATTTGTGTTGTTCAGAACCCGACCAAGATCTTGCTGGGTCCTGGGCTGAGACAGGCCACAGAACCTGCGCCAGGCATTGTAGCCTAGAGGAGTAAACAGCAAGTAAACAAAGAGTGCAATTGAGAAAAAAGATAAAACATTAGAAAGAAGATTGCATAGGTTGAAACATCAGAGTGAGAGATGTACCAGGCAAGCCATGGTCACGTCCCCTCTGCATGTTGAGAGCTGCAAGGTCCAAAGCCAGATGCTGCACAAACTGGAACAGCCTCTCCCTCAGAGCATCCACCATCATGTGATCCTGAGTGTTCAGTTTGGCGGGACGGCCGATCAAACCACGCAGCAGAGGGTCAATACCACCTGAAGAGATGAAAATAAAAATTAGGGTGATGGTTTAAGACAGAATATCAAAACAGTTGCTACAGTTTTCTCTGTACAGCTCACCCTCAAAGACGACTCTCCAGGGGGTGAAGAAGGCCTTGAACAAGGGCACACTGGGAAACCGAGGATGCTCCCTGTAGTTTGCATCCAGACGGGACAAGGCTGGCTGGATGGCCAAGTGGGCGAAGCGGTAAGCTGCTGTTGCGAAGACGTTGGAGATGCTGGGGTCCACGTTGGGATTGTAGCCAGGGTAACGGCCAAGCTGTCTGCGCATCGCATCATCACCCACAATGTGTGGCAGATAGTCCCTGAACACAAACCGCTGGGAGACACAGACAGAGAAGTTTATTTTGAGGGAATGACACATGAGATGGGAATATATAAATGTGAATGCTTATGGAATACCTGTGTGTAAGCGCCCATGATCTTGCGGGCCTCTTGGTAGAGTGTCTCACTGTCCCAGTGTGGGTTCAGTCTTTTCAGCGCGCGAGCCAGGCGGTTGTGCTCACGCATAAACAGTGTGTGAATGGATGTCAGAGCGATGTTCTCGTCCACACGGACATCACCTTCAAGACAGAAATGCAGCAGATATAAAGGTGTTCATTTCCTCTTCAGATTCATGTTTGGTACCACTTCCTAATAGGAGTTTATGAGATTACATGTATTAATGCTTGATACATCAGTAATGTCCATTATTAAGGACAACATTTGAGTTGCCAAATTTACTCTAGTATGTCTTGCAAAATGACCTTTGCTCAAATTTTCTTGTAGCAGTAAAGCAAAGTGAGAAGTTACAACACAATCTACTATGTGGGCAGAGGTCAGGCTGCATGGATGTTTTTATATTTATCATTATTTCTCAACAACTATTATTTATGCTATGAAGACAGATTTTAATTTATATTACTAGTATTTTATATTGCCATTCTTATCTGTCTATACACCAGTATCCAGTTATGGATGCTTAATAGGACAATGGTAGTTGACAAATACCTAAATGACACATACAAAATGTCAACAACAACATTACGGTTACATTATGGTCCGATATTAACCATGCATTAAGTGTTTGCATATTGCTTATGAATGACCGGGGGGGTTTAGATAAAGTGTCACCAGATAATTTAGACAGACAGCAACTAGAAAACACACAACCTGGCAACCCAAACTTCTAATTACTTCTGTGATGGCTTGTTACTGATCAACTGGTTAATAAGTCATTATTTAACTATTTATAAAGCTAATAGTTTTTGCGAGATGACGAACCTGCAATGAAACAGGGCACCTCCTTGGCGTTGGTGTCGTTGGTGACTCTTCTGCGGGTGGCACACATCTGCACCTGCAGTGGATGGAAGGGCAGCAGCTCCCGTCCATTGTCCCTGAACTCTGTGTTCACGCGCAGCAGGCCGTTATTGTTAGTGAGGTCGCGAAGGTCGAGGGCGAGCTTCTCCTCGGAGCCATACACCTGACCGAGGTCCAGGAAGGCGGTCAGGGCGTTGATCTGCTCTCTCTTGTTGGGTTCTCCACCGAAATTGTACGCTGAGAATCCGGTTCCGCAGGCGGGGGCGGATCTGAACGAAGGGATGCAGCTGTCAGGGCGGGAGGGCAGGCGAGGGTCGCCAGGGGGGATCTGTTTTGCAGCAGAGGGAGGTCAAAGGTTATCAAGCAAATCTTTTCAGAGCTAAAAACAGCATGTCAGTGTTTGAGTTTGAGCTTTGACACCAACCGGGATGGGGATGCATGGCTCAGTTCTCTCACAGCTCTCCTCACAGTTCACACCGTTGCTGAAGGAGCGGATGCTGGGGGAGAAGGGCGTGAAGGTGAGGTCGTGGTCGTTCCACTGGCCAAACAGGGTCACCATGTGACTGAACTCTCTGTCGCTGACCACACCTGCATCTGTTGTGCTTAGGATGTTGTTGGACACCTGACGCACCTGCAGAGTGAAGAGGAATTTTCGGTATTTAAGAATTGTTTTAGTTTATCCATATGGATCAAGGTGAGTGTCTGGGATTTCAGGGTTGTACCAGTGGGAGCAAGAAGTTGTTGAGTGATCGGTTTGCCCCGCCTTTTGGTTGGGAGATGCCGTCGTCATATTCGGCAGGCAGCCAGCGGGAGAAGGGGGTGTTGGAGGCTCCTAGGCGAGGTGTTTTTCTAAAGCCAAACACCAAACGTCAATGTTTAGACACACGGCTTGAGAAATCCCAAGGAAGTGTACACATCTCCTGTGGTGTATGGCCTAAGATGTTTAGGTGCATTTCACAAAGCATGTCCTCTGAATGTAAGCACCACTCAGTCTCATAAACCCTGTCACAAAATCATCTGGTTCCTCATTAATTCAACACAAATTGCTTTTTCGAGAGAAACCACATAGTTATTTTTTTTTCCTACATATGAAGAAGTCAAGAGGTCAAAACTGGAAAATGAGAAAATGACTTAAACTCAAGGTTACGTAGCATAAAAAAAAATTGGATGTAAAAGTGTATCTATGTTTTACATGTCCTGAAAACGGTGGTGTTACAGAAGTCCAAATACAGAAGTGACTCACAGGTTATTGCAGACGCTGGTGGCTGTGCGATACTTGTTAATATTTTGTGTGGTGCTGCACTGTGGAAATCTGGTTCGAGCTGCACATCCAGTTATACGGACAAGGTCGCTCAGGTCTTCTTCAGTGAGCAAATCTGAAAAATGTGAAAGACACATTTCATGCACTCACACTGTGTGTACATATACAACTGTCTAGTCCTTAATTGCAGCTTTGAAGTGCTCCACTGTGCCCACATTATGAGACAGTAAATCTCAGACCTAGACTCTAACCAAAACCAGGAAAAGATTTTACAAAAACAGTGTGAGCACTATGTGTGTTGTCTTTGTGTGGTTGGCGCATGTCTGACCTGTTGCATTGAGGGAGCGTTTGTGCACGTGATGCACCCTGTTGTGCACCAGACGAAGTGTTTGATCCATGTAGTCTGCAGATCTCACAGCTGTGCGTGTGTCACCTCGAGGCTGCTTCAGGAGACGAAGAGCATCATGAGGACTCACCACCTCCCTGCGGACTCGCCTCAGACTCCTGGAGGAGAAGAAGTCACATAGTTGAACAATAAAGTCAAAACTGTGGTCTTTGTTTTGCAACTTTTTCTAATAACTATTGAGACACTGTAATGAATGGCTTGCATGCCAAAGAAATAATCCATCAGTTGACATTTATGCTGTATCCATTTGAAAGATATCTACTATACTAATGAAACAAGACATCAGATGAACTCACTCTTCTCTGGAGTATTTGTAGGCATCATCCACGATTGTCTTTGCCTCCTGAAAACATTGTTGAAGGAAAGGACTGCCAAGAAAGTCTCCTGCAAAGAAAACAACACTTTTATTAAAAGGATTTCAAATTTTATAGAGTGTTTTACAACATTTACTACAGTGTGAACTACCTACCTGTTGCTCTGGAGTGAGCAGGTACCAGGCAGATGCCCAGCACAAGAAGGACAGAGAGAAGCATCTCTGAAACGAATAATCAGAATGAAAATAAAATTAATTTAATAAGTCAAAAGTAAAAACATTTTCATTAGCACAGTGCAGCATAAAAAATATAAGTATCCCCCGGCAAAAAAGAGAAGACTCTCATTACCTGTGTCTGTGAAGATACCTGTGAAGATTGCAGACGCTCTTCGAGATGTGGATCTGTGAGCGGAGTGATGCTGTGTCGAGCGCTGTCACCACCTTATATGCAGCGTGGACTCGCCCCTGGGTTGTCCAGGTGAAGCTACTTTCAGTAAAGAGCAGTTCCTTCTTCCTTCTCTGTGCAGAAGGAACCTTTTATTCTTATCAGTCAGTCTTTATGGCCAACTGATAGAACTGATGATCTTATAACAAATCTATAGAAGAAGCAGCAAAACAAGTATTACTTGTGGCAACAGTGACAGCAATCATCACGGAATACAGTGACAGGCCTTATATTGTATTTGCATTATCACAGTTGGGGAATCTATTTGAATAAACAGTTTTCTTAGGCTTTATAATTATTTCAGTGTTTAAGCAGCATTTCAGACAAATTTCAGAAATTATTTGGTTTCCTTTTTTTATCGTTTAAACCTTAATTTTCAGTTAATCATACTTTCCTTTTTCGTGACATAATGTGACATAAATAGATCTGGTGTAGTCTTTAGAGATTAAAGTGAAACAATTATTTTTGTTTTTATCAACAAGGTTTGGACTGTGTTCATTGACATTTTTCTCTTTCTTGTCACAACATTTGAAATAACTGGTTCACATTCTATACTTTCCTCAAGGAGATATAGTCTTTGGAGGGATGTAATGTAATTTTTATAAAGAGGATTTTGACAGTTTGCGTGTGATTTGTTTTACTAGTTTGCTGGTGTTGTCATGTTGTGGATGAAGGCCTACTGTGTTACAACACAGACAAACTTGTGAAAGTCTTTGAAAAGAGGAAGCAATCATAATTCTGTTTTGTTCTTGAAAGAGTTTATTGACTTTTAACTCCTGAATGAACAAGAAATCAATAATAACATTTTTTAAAATTAACCTAAGGTGTTTGTCACCACCGATCAGAATGCTGTATGTCAATAAATGGCAGGTGGTATGTGTGAGACATGGCCGTGCAATGAGGAAAAAAAACAAAGACAAAAACACAGTCAAATATAAGTTTGCCTCGAAACTGTATGTGTGTTCTTGTGTGTGTTTGGGTGTGCTTGTGTAGGGTTGTGTGTGTTTGGGTGCGGAGCCCTGCGGCTGCAGTATACACAAAGACGACCTCATAGCTGTCAGATAAAATTGTTAATGATAACAAGACAAGGAACAGAGGTTGTGGGGAAGTCCACTGGCCTGTGAAAAACCAGAGTTATAATAATTAACCGACTGGCACTGATCAAATGTTTGAGAGAGTATTTTATCACTGTACTATTTAAACTATTTAAAGAGGTATGAAAATTATTTAAGGAAAAAGGAAAAGTTGTCCTGTTGAAAATGAATCTTACTTTTATTTGTATGCTGTTTTGTCCTGCACCTGAACCTAACTATAGTTAGATATGCACACTATGCACTACCTTTCTTTTTTGCTTTCAAATTATTTTAATTTGTTGTTGATAAGCGCAGCCTTATTCTCAAAAGCAGACACAATAAAATATTTAAGGATTAGGTTGCACATCGCATACCACATATATATATACTGTATATTTTGATGTACTTGCCTTAAATGATGCATCCGTATGTTTAAACAATAATAGCAGAGGATTAAGTCAAACTGACAGGTATGTGGGACAACAAACTCTAAAATTAAACTTTTAAATTAATAATAGATTTCATGCAAAAGAATAGACTATTTTGAATAACTTGTCACTTTGAATGAGTGTTCAGTTTGCCTGCTCTTTGTCAAAGTAAAAGGTCATTTTTCTGTCAGCATTTCATTGTGTTTGCAACAACAGGAGAGTTGCATTAGTCCTGACCAGTTTCCTCTTTGAAGAAAGTTGTTAGTCAACCTCATGGTTTAGCAAGAAGTCACATTTCACCATTAAGTTGGTTAGGTGTGTGTGTGTGTGTGTGTGTGTGTGTGTGTGTGTGTGTGTGTGTGTGTGTGTGTGTGTGTGTGTGTATTTGGTGAGAGCACTCTGTTAGGAAATTCAGCTTTTACAATCAAGTAACGATTCTGCACAGTCTGAAGCAGAAACATGTCATGATGAAATTGAAAAAAAAAACAGCAGGTTTTGAGGATCTTTCCTGGATCATTTAGAGTCATTATTGCCTAATACTGCTGATGATCCAGGAAACAAAGCTGCTTTGGACAATGGGTCAGTGAGTCATTTAGTCCACGTATGATAACAACAACTTTGTATATAAAGTTGAGTAATCCAGACTGTACTATGAACATAATAAGGAAGTAATGCATTTGGTACTGAAAATTTAAGGCAGCTTCCCCAAGACTCATTATGATAACAGAAGTTTACAACGTCAAGGAAATCGTATCCTATTACCGCAAAGTGTCATGCAATTTTATGTTTTAAGTTTTTTTAATGTATGTCAGGAAGATAGGAAACAAGCACAGCAGCTTATGTGTCCATCCATGTATAAAACACAGCTTTATGAACAAAGATGCCATTTGCACAAAGTTAATAAATACAAACTGTCACTAAGTATCATCATCTCTGCAGCAAACGTCCGTGGATAAAAGGAACTAGACAGTGGACAATAAAAAGGGCAGAAAAAAAAGCTGCTTGTCTGAGTTGGGTTCACTGCAGTGACAGTGAATTTACAGGTTTGCAAATATGAGCTCAAATGGCACAAACAGGTCAGAAGTATTTCAGTTTCACTATGATAACACACACTAATTCTTCCTAAAAACGGCAACTCTTTCAAACTGTTTATCATCCTGACTGACATGTGATGCTATCACAGAAGTATTAATAAACATTGTGTTAAAGTAAAAAGCATGTCATGTTTCGGAACCTGACACTGTGTCTAAGGTGAGCAACAGACTTATTTTTGTTTTGCCTTGCTTAACTAAAGGCTGTTTTGAGGAACATGAGGGTTTCAAAATGAATTTCAAAGAAGAAGCCTAATATGGAGATGTACTGTATGGACAGCATTTACACTCATTAAATTACAAATTTTCAATAAATTAATAAAGTGCAATAACAAAGAAGAACACATCTCAACCTCTCCCAGCCCCACCTCACCTCTGTGAAACTTCTGGGAAGATTTCATCCTTGACCAGCAGAGTGACACAAAGGGTTTTTGTTGTATTTTTGTTTACAGATGAATGAGCAATTACTGTAAACACTATTTAAACATTAAAGACTGGTTACTCTATCTATCCTGATTTATACTGATACAGATTTATTTACTCTATAAATCTGCTGAATTGTCCATTGAATGTCTGCATGAATTTTAAATATAGCTTCAGTATTTATGTACATATTTGACAGAGCTATTTATATAAGAATTTAATGGCATCTGTGGAGAAGCAGAGCATGTATAGATAGTATTACATATAACAGATGTTTGTAAGTCAGTTTGCAGCTGTGCATCATTGGTTTGTCACATCAGCAGATTTTGTTTGCTTGGGTTGTATTGCATGTATTTTCTTATTTTTGCTTTCTTTACTACTTGCATATTTTTTTGTTATTTTTTGTTATTTCTACAAAATAACAGGGCATCTTATTATCCAAGCCTTTTCACAAATACATTTTTACCTAGAATCGTGGAAAATACTTAATCACTAATGGTCTACAACCAGTATTACTCTCAGTGACAGAGCAGACACTACAGTGAGCACGCCACGATGCTCTACAGGTCAATCTGAATGTTATTTGCCAATGGTTTCAGTGAGGTTACACTTTAGCATTGGCCCTTTTAACAGCTGGATTTTCACTTTCCAACATGCAGTCACACCTAACAGACACAGTGAGCACAGGCTTGGTTGAATCTTTGGAATTTTTGTCGGATAAACATGAGGAATAGATTGGACTAGATAGTGATTCTTTGGCAGCTTTCACTGTTCACACCTGGTTTCTATTTTGTGATGATTATTGGTCCTCAGCTCAGTCTAAGTCTGCACAGACAAATAGGGCTTCAGCTTCTCCTTGTTACAGGTGAATTACATTTGGCAAAGAAAAGCCCCAATTAAGCTAGTTCTTAAACTTGCAGATTGTGTTGCAAATTCTGAGGAAGGAGGAAGCGGCTATGTGCTGAATGCCAAGGTGATTTCACAAGATAAACTAATGGAAAGAAAAAAAGGCACCATCTTGAAAAATGAGCAGGAAGAAACTGAGGGTGTAAAAAAAGTCATAATGTGTCATGGAATCTGGCCTATTATTATTCCCTCAGGGCTTTTGTGACGCCAGGGATCTCTCAACAGCATGTGGACACAGTGCTAATGATTTGCATTATTACCCTCTGTCAGTCAGCACCTCTTTGGTCTGCTTGTACTTCCCCTTATAGTGTGCCATAGGCTGCTCACCTCACAATATACCCAACAGGAAGTACAGTCTTATTTTGTAATAAGTGTACAGTGTCAGTGCACAACAAACAATTCCAGGTTGGCATGTTCATCTGAGACCTACTGCCGTTTTGAATTATTGGAATGACACACTTACTCTGCCATAAATTACTGGTCATTAAGATAAGTCAAGTGTCACATTTGGGAATCAATACAATAAACAGTAAGAGTAAGATCACTTGAATGGGAAATAGGTCAATAGCCATTATACAATACAATAGCCATTTTAAGGACAACTCAAACTCAACTCAGCTCTATTTTCAACTTATTGCAGCTTTCATCAGCCTTAAAATGAAATCTGTCCTCCTCAGTTGTACTTAGGTTCACCTTCAACTTGGATTTTAACACCTGGAAAAGGCATATGGCATTACTGGAATGACACACTTACTCCACTTACTACGCCATAAATTACTGGTCATAAAGATTAGAGTCATTTTTGGGAAACAATACAATACGTCAACAACATTATAACGAGAAGACCACTTTCCTGTTCACTTGAATGGGAAATGGGTTTCAGACTTTTGGACTCCTCTGTATACTGTAGACAATGGCCCTTTTAAGATAACTCAGACTTAACTTGTCAGACTCAGCTCTATCATCAACCTAGTGCAGTGGAACGCTAACATGCTAAACATAGCATTGTACAGACCTACAGTTAGCTGAATATATTAAATATACTGAAAACAACAACTGAAT